TCCCAGTAGTGAAGATGCTCGGGAGCGACTTCTAGTCGAGAGCCTCTTGAAACTGTCGCGCGAGCACAGTGTGACACACTACAAACCCCTTCAGCCAGTAATGATGCAGCCCGTCGAGCCCCGGACTTTTCCAGTTCGGGGCCCTACGGACTGCCTCAGCCACTTTTTCCGGCATTATGATGACGGGATCCATAGGCGTAACACTTGCACCCTGGCTCGCCACAACTTCTATCCAAGGGTCCTCGCTGTGGTTTAAGGGCTCTGACCACGGGCCAAGCCAGAATGCGACAATGTCGGCCTGATCCGGTCCTGGGCCCGCGCCACATAACCCTTGTCGCTTAAATTTAAAAAAAAAATTTAAAAAATTTATAGAGCCTCTTCTGATCAATCTGGAAGAGACGACTCTGGTTGAACTGGCTTGACCTCTCGGTAAATCGTCGAATCCGCTTCTCCCAAGCAGCGATTTTTTGCTTCAGGTCGTCTATGCACTCCGTTAGTTCCTGCGTGATATCCGGCTGGAACAAACTGATATTTGTCCCAGCAAACGCCATTCTAACGGTACGCACAACCCTGGGTCTATTATTACCCGACCTGAAGCTTGTCAGTCTGCCGATAAGGGCCCTTGCCTTTGCGATATGGTCCTCAATTCTTTTTCTCCAGGCTGGGACGGCGCTACTTTGTTTAGTAGCGCATCCAGCCATGGGAAGTTTGGCGCCAATAATACGGCAAACTACCACTGCGGCTTTGAAATAATACTAGTTTTTACGGAATTTATCGCGTATATTTAACTTTTTAATTACCCGACGTTTCGAGAGCTTTACAGCACCCATGGTCACGGGAAGGACCATCCCTTCCCATCCCCATCCCCATCAGTCCTTCCCGTTCCCATCAGTCCTTCCCGTGACCATGGGTGCTGTAAAGCTCTCGAAACGTCGGGTAATTAAAAAGTTAAATATACGCGATAAATTCCGTAAAAACTAGTATTATTTCAATGTGTAGTGTTCGCGTAAATATAAGAAATCATTATGTATACCACTGCGGCGCTAAAAAGAATTGAGTCCGTCTCGCAAAGGTCCCGGCTGGCTTCCAAATAGGTCACCAGCATTGGGTTAGGAGCCCTCACGACAGCCCGGTTCCACTTGCTAAGGGGTATGCGGGGAAGTCGCGGTCTAATTCCGAGAGGCATGCTGCGCGTTTCCAAAATCGCTTCTTCGAATATGCTCCTCATTTGCTCTAGTTTGTGGGAGACCATTTCATCATCGTCCGAATAAACCACAACTGGCAGATCCATGGCGGCTTCAACGCATGGATTGGCGGCTTCCACGTGTGGATTATATTAATTATAATTATTATTAAATCAAGTGAATTGGCATTTATGTTGTGAGTGATGTGAGTGGTAGTTACACTGGTTGTCCCAGAAATATCACGTCATAGTGACATGGAAGATAGTTCAGCCTTAGATCTTACAGATATAAAAATCGCCTCAGTAAAAGTTTTTTAGTTTTTGAGATATCGTCAATTATTTAATTTTCTCAAAATCTCTACTTTTAGATAGTTTTTCCACCGATGTCGATAGAATTACCTTGTAAGTTGTTTGTTTTTATATTTTTTTTTTAATTTTCGTACAGTTGTTCCAAGCGTTGAAAGTAAATTTGCTACAAACTCTCGTGTATTTTTTAAGATAAATGATTTGTGTTACTTTACTTTTGAAAAAATTGCACTTCCAACTTTGATGACCTACCGTGAAAAAAATGTACTGAAGTAAACTGGCAAATAACGTGGAAAAATACTTCATTCATCGCAGATTTAGAAAAGGTTTAATACTAACATTAATTATTAAAAAAAAAACATAAAAATTACCATTTTTATCATTAAGGTTAGCGCTCTCAGCGGAAAGCTGTACTGTAATGTTGTTTAGTCTTTGTGTTGAGTATCGCAGCAACCCGTTCTCGGGTCATAAATTGAGCGAGACAGCTGTGAGTAAAGGGAGGACAGTGCTATTTCAGTCTCGCACAGGTAGCTTCAATCGCCAGTACAATCAATACTAGGAGCAATCTGGACTTTCGTCTCGATATTCTCCAGTTTTTTTTTCAGCATACACAGGACTCAAAATATTCATACGATCGTCATATATTTGCTGCGTCGCTTCCAATTTTATAAAACATTTTAAAAATTTGATAATTGGAAGGTTAGAATTAGTTATCAGCTCATGAAAAGAGGTATTATCAATTGCAGTGGTGAATAATATTTCAGTTAAAATATCAAAAGGACAATTGTTCAATGCTGTAAATCTCGTTACTTTATATTTTTATCCGGACCAGTTTGATCGCCGTTACGAAGCAGAAAATCCTGCTTTTTTTGGTTACCGTTAGTTTTTTTCATCGACTGTATTATTTAATAATGCAACTTCGGTGCAGCGTTTGAAATAATGACAAACTCTTTTAGTAATAGATTTTTGTTTCACCGTATTTTCCAAAGCGATTAATAAAGGCCACTAACTTTTTTCAATTTCGAAGGTTCTTGAGGTATTTTATCTTCGTCATTTATTATTTCATGTAAATTATCTAGCAGATGAGAAGAATTGTTTTCATCAAGATAGTTTGAAGATCACCACAAATTTAAAATATTATCATCTATAGTTGTAAATGTGTAATGTGTAAAAGTGTGTAGAAATATGTAATGTGTAAAATATTATCATATATATTCGTTGATGAAATACTTATGATTTTGCTGCAAATGAAGGATGTTTCTGTATCATTACTATTATTATCTTTCCCATTAGTAGTACCCATATTTGTAGGTTAGGGCAAGACGTATAAATTATCCGAAATAATTAACTTTCCTCACAATAATTCATAAGGCGTAATAAACAAAATAACATTTCTGAGTCCGCCAAACGGCTCTTGGAAACTTAGTTCTAGATTTAAATAAATATATTTCATGTGCTGCGATTCCTTTCATTTTGTATGGTTATCTTTTAATATATTCATATAAAATATAATTTAAATGCAATTGTGACAATATTATCTATTATCCTATTAATTTATATTATATTAATGCAAAATAATTGACAAATTTTCAAAAATTTTACTTGTTTTAATATATTAATTAGGTAACAATAAATTATGTAATCTAAATAAACAATAATTAAATACTGAACATCCTACCTAACTAATCTATGATGATAAAAAAACCGCGCATCCGCGTCACGACATAGAGTAGCGCACAGTTTTTGCTTGAAATAGCTGTTCTACATCATACTTCAATGGTAGCTGAATAAAAATTGTTAATTAAACAAAAAATAGATATATTATTGATAGAACAAACGTATTTTATTAAAGAACAAACATAATTGAATATAAAAAGCCCAATAATAATGAAAGAAATTATAAATTTATACTATAAGGCAGATTTCTAATTAATTTTTTGTAAATAAATTATTGACGAACAAACAATTATTGATAGAGAACAATCAAGAACAAACCACGAACAAACGATATGTGATAACGAAATTTGAAAAAATAAAAATTTTTGGGAGGCTATCTTCAATGAGCCACCTGTCCCTAAACTGTTTATGAGTGAGTACAAGTAGATGAAGTTAATTGAATAATGTACAAAATTTTTTCGCGGTATTGGTGAGAAATAATCCTCTCCCTAATTTTTTAATTTTTGACAAAAAGAAATATTAAAAAATGGTGAAATATTGTATTGTGCGTGGATGTGCAAGTGGTTTTATTCAGACAACTTAGCGATCGCAGTCTACGTTTTGTCCACAGACTAATATGATACTTACGTATGTTTTGTCCATATTTCTGGGACACTATTTTCTACAGCGATCGTTCTCCTTCTCTCTAACCTCCATGGTTAGTACGTTGGGTGCTTGTGTTGCTACTTTATATTTCAAATTGCTACCAGTACCGACATTTCCAAATCATGCAAAGTCACGTAAGGCAATGAGTAGTATAAGAAAATTCATTGTGGTATACATGACTTTAAAACAACACATAAGTTCAAAATAAATGTTTAAAAAGCTTAGTGACAAAATAAATAGAACTTTTTTACATTAGTTATTTATATCGATATAAAAGCCGACATCTACAACATTGCCTTAAATAAAATTTCGAAAATGCTCAGAGTATTTTCGAAATTGCTTACGACATTTTATTACAACATATCTATCCCTTCTTTTTGCAAATTTATAGTTTAGATGTGGTAGATTCTTGGAATAAAATCTGGTAGCACTGATTTCTAATATTATTTTTTAGTTGTGTTGTAGATTTATTGTTGAGTGAAGGTGAAGTGGCCTTTTGCTCGTGAAAAAATAAAATTATTGTATTAAGCTATATAAAAAACATATACGTATTTTTCTAGTATAGAGTCAATTTACATTTTTACTTTCGCACTTGGATTTTATCTTATGTAAGTATAAAAAAAATTAGATTATTTTTAACTGTTAGGTTAGAAGTTGCATCAATTTATGCTGACTGTCCCGAATGATTTACACATAATATTATGCTTATTATATTATGGGCTGACAGTAGGTTTTTTGTTTTGTGAATGCTGAAGAAGCAATTATATGCTTAAGTAAATTGATTATTCGCCGGGCATCTTAATCAATAATGCTTTGAAGGTAACTATGTCTCGGTTGACTACAGAGCGATATAGATTCAATTTTACCATAGGTATTTATTTTTTGTTAGAAATAATCGACAGACGTATTTTATGCAAATTTTAATTATATTTTTTGCTAAATTTTTATAGTTACATCATTCATTTATTACTTAAAAATATTAAATTAATATCAACAATGTATTAAAACTATTACACTTTCTATAAATTTTGCCTTCAATATTAAAAATATTGTATTACTTTGTGCTTCGACATATCTTTCTAATCAACCAGACCAAGGATTCACAAGACAACTCGTGGAGGGAATAAATTAAAAATGAAACAGAGATTTTATTTTATTAAGTTGCTTACAAATTAGAAGCAATAATAAAATGGCTAAGGCAGCTAGTAGTAGACGTGCGCGTACCCAGGCTTCATCTCTCAATATACCAAGACAGAATTCAATATCTGATAATGGAAGAACAAAACAAATTCCTAGTTGTGAAATGCTAGCAGCAATGAACAAAGAACAACTTCGAGCTGAATGCAGAAAAAGAGGACAGCGATCTTCTGGCAACAAGAATGAACTGGTATATCTAATATAAAATGTGTGACTTGTCACTGTGCTTTATTTATTATTTTTTGCGTGCAGTGTTGTATTGCTTTCATGTATTATAAGGGTATTGTTTGCTATGCAAGTGGATGCTTGTTTTATAAATATTTTCATTTTTTCATAATGTGATGCTATAATATACATATTTGTTTAATGAGAAAAAGAAAATAAATATTGTATTTATTTACTTATATTACATTAATTTAATTAACTGTATTGTTATATCAGATGAATCCACCAATAATTATACATTTTCATTTGCATAAAAGCTTGATTATTGTTTCATACTTTGTAGTTTAGATATTTCAAGAAGGGTTTTATTTATTTCTTTGTTGTGAATACTCATCACTCACATTATTTTGTTTAAATTTATTCATTCCATACTATCTATCCATAAATACATACCAGTGCAAATCTTATGTCAGTAGTTTTAGTTATATTAATATGTAAAGAATAGCATTTTATATTAACTCTAAACTATCCTCTAGGAAGTGACAAAAAAAAACAGAAACTTTATCAACTATAAAAGTGGAGTGACAAAAAACAGAAACTTTATCAACTATAAAATCTGTTTATTTTGCCATATCTTTAGACTAACATCCATACCCGGAACTGTTAAATTTGTGGGGCATACAAATACTTGTTCCGTGTGGAATTTTAACCTCTCAGACCCCAAGCGTTCAGATTCGACTGCACACATCCACAGCACTTTAAACCATTAAAACATATATTTAGAGACTATTTTCTATGAACAAGTTTGGCATTATAGAATCAATATGAAATTTTCTATCTTTTACTGCAATAAAAAGTCAAGTTATCCTATGGATATTTATTTATAATCTACATTCATTTCGTATGCCATTTTCGCGTGAATGTTATTGTGTTGACTTTTGGATTTTTCTAGTGTTTTATTAGTGTTATAGTATAGTGTTTTATTATAAAATTGTAATGAAAATTTTTGTGTGAATAGAATTTATCTTTTTACGTAAATAATTTAGAGTAATATATACTTATTGTAATAATTGGGATTTTCACGCTCCCGACATTCGCTTGGTATGTTTTGTTTTTGTTATCAAAATACAATAGTCTTTTTGTAATGAAGTAAAACCTGACTTTTATATAGAGAATTTTCTATAGATTTTATAATGTCAGACTTCTTCATAGAAAAGTAGTCTCTAAATATAAGTTTTAATGGTTTAAGTGCTGCGGGTGGGTGCGGTCGCATGCGACCGCTCGCGCTTTGCCGGCGCATGCGACTGCATGGGTTTTTTGTTGGGATTGAGGGGTTAATTTATCATAAATAATTCCATAAGTGTAAGCAACATTATTATTACCTATTTGTTCTCAAGATATGTGAGACGAGAGGTGTCGGTTAACTTTCACCGAAAATATACATAAGTACTTCATATAGATACCTTATAAGGGTACAATAATCAGATACTCACACAAATATGTGACTAAAACTAGTAGCATCTGACTCTAGAAACTGGAATCCTTAGACTTGATGAAATGTGAAGATATGCTAATATTTGGATGTTGGAAAATCAGATCCATCAAAACTTCCTGCTGGGAATTTTTTCTACTCTTTTATTATAATTTTAACATTATTGTTATATTGGAATCTCCATAACTCAAATTTCAAAGGAAATGCTAAGATTTTGAGTTAATGAGTTAAACTTGGTCTTGTGCCAGTGCCTCTCCGGTCGCATCAGACTATGAGAATGATGGAAGGAAGGGTTCACTTGTGCTTGCACATACACTCTGAGAATACTACTATCCTGTTATGCGCAGACGGTTAGTCTCCATTCAGACTGGCCAAATTTGTTATGGAGAACATTTATTAATTAGACATCTTATATAGATTGTTGGTAATTATTACTATTTCACAAGCTACGCACATGGGCGCCCCATGCTACGCATCATCAGAAACAAAAACACTATGATGTTTAGTATATAGTTTTGTATATAATATGATAGATGTAGATGATGATGGAATTGTGATTTATTTCTGAAGTTGAATGTTACGAAGTAGTGGCTATGTAAAAGGCATCAGGGGGTAGCATTTTCCTGATAATAACTTAAATTTTTTTAAAAACTCAGTTAGCTGTGACAAGTCAATTGTAAAAGAGATGTTCGCCCTTGTTCGGCTCTCACGACACCAATTTCTTTTCTTATTCGATTTCCGCGAATAGTTGTCTAAATAAAATAAACTTATATATTAAATGGACAAGAGAACTATAGCTAGACAAAATAATTAGGTTGTATTTATCTTTTAAACAAAACACACTTATTATAGTATTAATATGTATATATAATCATCATTAAAAATATAAAAGTTAGCAAAAATCAGTCATGTTGAAGTTAATAAGGCTTTTTAATTAATATTCAAAGTCTAAAAGTGGTAGATTGTGGTGCAGAGTTTTGTTTTGGTGCAGGTTACAAGTCGGTTGCGCTTTTTTACGTAAACCAAACCTGCCTCAGAAAATAGTCTTTATGAATAAACGGAGCTTGCTGGTGTGACTAAGTATAGTTTAGCAAACTTACTTAAAATTGGGAATTGATTCTTATTGATACTCAAAGACCACCGTTCATATGGGTTTAAACTTCTGTCAGCCTTTGCGAACCTGATGTAGTAGGCAATTTCATCAGCAATGGTATTATTGGGTTACACTTCATTAGGCTGCTCTGTTCTCGTAGATTTAGATTCTTCGAAACATGGCCAAAATAGTTCATGAGTTTCTGAAACGACATCCCCCTTTCATCATCTAAGCGAGGTCTTTTGGACGCCATTTCTCTCACAAAATGAGGTTTTGGTGGCAGGCACACTCACTACAACTTATGACACTAAACTAATCCAGCAATAATAATGACATCTTGTGATTAAATTGAAAATAATACCACGATGTCTTATTTCTTAGACAAACATCACACAGGTTCCTCTCATTGGTATTTTTTACACCCGAGTGCATTAGAAATCAGCACTTAAAATTAGCAAACAAAATTGCATTGGTCGTGGCGAGTAACGAAATCTATTTGCTTGAAACTCTAATAAAAAAAAAAAACCCAAGAATAATTCAAAAACGACTTGACTGGATTTGATCAAATTCATATGGGACTAGACGAGAAGCACCAGATTTCAGATAAAAAAAAAGAATCATCCAAATCGGTTCATCCAGAGAAAAGTTCTGAGGTAACACACATAAAAAACATACAGTCGAATTAAATACCTTCTTCCTTGCTTCTTTTCTACCTTGCTTCTTTTTGAAGTCGGTTGTAAATAGATATGAAGTAATCCATTTTCAGATACGGCATATTTAAAATCTAGCGACGTGGTAACCTAGGAATTAAATGCTCATCTTTTTTTATACGTGGGGAAACCGTCATGGATACCCATACATACAGCTTATGCTGGTCTCCTACCGGCTAGAATCCCACGGTGTTCATCTCTTCGCCCTTAGTCGTGGCTACGGGGACGCTTTCGCACATTACCGCAGCCCCGATGCCGATAGCCCTTACAGGGTCCGCCTCGATGACGGAGTGGAGCTGGAGCACTCCACTCCTTCTTCAAGTAGGGGCCCACGGGAAACTTATAGTACGCGCCACCTAAAGGCCTTAAAAGACGACGGACAGCTGAACAGTAGAGCCTGATACTCTCTCCTCCACTACCCAACTACGCCTGCGGATTGGAATATCTGCCATACTTTCCCTGTCTCTCTCACCGCCGCCTCCTTCCGCGCATTTGTTGACAGAAGGTAATGCCGGAAATTACATATTAATACAATACTAACACTCCTTTTCCTCTGCGACACCGCTTTGGCTGCAGCGGTTGGGGGAAAGGAGAGGACACCCTTCTCGCCGCAGCCCACCAACACATATCCGAAGTGGACTCGCCAAGCCCCCTCGAAGTGCACACCTCGGGTCGGCCTCGGGCTAGCCATCTGGGTTCCTCTTAGTTCATCGCGGGTGACCAAGCCACGGACACTAAGCCCCCCCCCCCTCCCCCCCAACGACACGACAAGGCGGAAACCCGTTTAGAGGGGAACCTAAGCTAACCTAATCTAGGAATTAAATGTTCACCGTAAATTTCATAGTAAGTATTCAAACCTAGTTTGATTCTTTCCCGCCATTTAGCACGAATGAAATCATCAATTGCAATATGTTTTGATATACCATGTGTTCAGCGTTGAAGGGAAAGTCAGAGACAGAAGAAGTCTGAAATATAAAACATTTTTAAGACATGTGAAATCTGCCAGCAAATTCCGGATCGGCGCATCTAACTTTCAATATCTCTCTTACAAGTGAATGGGGGCTAACGGCCTAACCGATGTACTTACTTTATATTTAAAGCAAGTACAATATGACTGCTTCACAACATAAAATTAATTAGGATTAAATAGGATTAACACATTTATTCTTAATATGATTTCCTACACATTCTGTGCAACGCACTTTGCGCAATGCATAGTGAAATATCAGATTGACAGGCCTTTTCTTGTCGTGCGCCCACTATTTATATTGGAAAAGCTAATTTTATTAAATGATAGCGTGTACCGAACACAAGGGCTTAGTAGCCAGACTTTAGCGAAGTCAGTATATCATTTATATTTAGAACGTGGCAGTTGTTCAGACGCTACACAAACATCACAACGTGAACGTGACACTTAACATCGATATCAAAGTCATGGACGATAGAATATTTGCGTTTACGCTGTGACAGCGTCATTAAAATTTATGTTAGCACCTGTTATTCTGTCATTGATGTTTTATATTATTATCTGAAGTAACATCATCAGAATTACTTTTAAAATAACTGAAAATTGATTTTTAAATCTTCAGTTATGAGTTATTCAAGGGGATAATTCAACATACACGATGCTTACAAATTAAGTGATTCAACTTACACAATGCTTACCGATGCGGAGGAACCACAGTTCTGAATATTTCCCAAGACTTCTGGAGATGTCGGGACATGACCCT